TTAGGGATAGAGATGGTAATGTCATAAGAACAGAAATCAGGACATCACTAAATTATTGGAAAAATAGTGTGGGGAGGGATCATAATTTTATTAAAAAAATTTTAAAAAGAGAAATTAAGAAGTACAGTTAACAAGTCAAATTCAGTTGAAAATCCACAGCTCAAAGAAAAAATGTGAAAACTTATGTCTTAATATGCTCTTCACTTCATTGGTCTACTTCAAACCATTTTATGATAAAAATTTGAAGTGTATAAAACCAAAAGGTCTCCCAACTATTATGAAATGCACAAGTTAATTCAAAACTTGTTTCTTGTAGTGCCTCAGGAACTGCTGTGGGAATGAGAGAAAAGGGAGGCAGGGCACGCATCCCTGTACTAACTAGAACTGCTATTTTACCTTAACAGTTTCCTTTTTACTGGCTTTATACATTAGACTTCTAAATGATTTTGCTTGAAGAGTTCTACTGCTAAAAATACAAATCTAAAAAAGAATCCAATCAAGAAATGGGCAGAAGACATGAACAGACATTTTTCCAAAGAAGACATCCAAATGGCCAACAGACACATGAAAAAGTGCTCAATATCGCTCAGCATCAGGGAAATCCAAATCAAAACCTCAATGAGATACCACCTCACAGCAGTCAGAATGGCTAAAATTAACAAGTCAGGAAACGACAGATGTTGGCGGGGATGCGGAGAAAGGGGAACCCTCCTACACTGTTGGTGGGAATGCAAGCGGGTGCAGTCACTCTGGAAAACAGTATGGAGGTTCCTCAAAAAGTTGAAAATAGAGGTACCATATGACCCAGCAATTGCACTACTGGGTATTTACCCCAAAGATACAAAAGTAGGGATCCGAAGGGGTACGTGCACCCCGATGTTTATAGCAGCAATGTCCACAATAGCCAAACTGTGGAAAGAGCCAAGATGTCCATCGACAGATGAATGGATAAAAAAGAGGTGGTATATATATACAATGGAATATTATGCAGCCATCAAAAGGAATGAGATCTTGCCATTTGCAACGACGTGGATGGAACTGGAGGGTATTATGTTGAGTGAAATAAGTCAAACAGAGAAAGACATGTATCATATGATCTCACTGATATGAGGAATTCTTAATCGCAGGAAACAAACTGAGTGTTGTTGGAGTGGGGGGTGGGGTGGGAGGGATGGGGTGACTGGGTGATAGACACTGGGGAGGGTATGTGCTCTGGTAAGTGCTGTGAATTGTGCAAGACTGTTGAATCTCAGATCTGTACCTCTGAAACAAATAATGCAATATATGTTAAGAAAAAAAAAAGAAGAAGAAGGTAGCGGGAGGGGAAGAATGAAGCAGGGGAAATCGGAGGGGTGGACGAACCATGAGAGACGATGGACTCTGAAAAACAAACTGAGGGTTCTAGAGGGGAGGGGGGTGGGAGGATGGGTTAGCCTGGTGGTGGGTATTGAGGAGCGCACATTCTGCATGGAGCACTGGGTGTTATGCACAAACAATGAATCATGGAACACTTCATCTAGAACTAATGATGTAATGTATGGGGATTAACATAAGAATAAAAAAATAAATAAATAAGAAAAAAATATTGAAAAAAAATACAAATCTAAAATCACTGATTTACTTTTTTTAAAGATTTTTATTTATTTTACAGAGAGAGCGAGAGCGCGCAAGCACAAGCAGGGGGAGCAGCAGTTAGAGGGAGAACCAGGCCCCCAGCTGAGCAGGGAGCCCGATTTGATTCGGGGTTTGATCCCAGGACCCTGGGATCATGACCTGAGCCGAAGACATATGCTTAACCGACTGAGCCAACCAGGCACCCCTGAAATCACTGATTTAGATCATAAAAGGTTGATGGGTTATTCATCATATTTGAGAAAGCTGTGAAACTGTTTTGTAGCCATTAATCGCTAGAGAAACAAAACAGTGTAATAGTGTATTAGTCTGGGAATTAAGAGGCTAATCCTACACTGGGCCAGTCATTTTACTTCTCTGGACCCGTAAGCACTTACTTTCTAAATGAATAAAAAAAAGGAGTCTTTATTCAAAGGTGGCTGGCCTATAAAACATGATTTTTAGGAATGGTCATCATGGTATGATAGGATATACTGCTATGACAACGTGACAATGTTTTAAGAAAATGAGTAACAAGGGGCGCCTGGGTGGCTCAACCGGTTAAGCGTCTGCCTTTGGCTCAGGTCATGATCCCAGGGTCCTGAGTTCCAGCCCTGCATCTGCTTTTCCCTCCCCTCTGCCCCCCCCAACCCCCGTGCCCATGCTCTCTGTGTTGCGCTCTCTTTCAAATAAATAAATGAAGATCACACCAATAAACAACTCTAAGAAATTTGTTACATGTTCTTCTGCAAAATTCTATTCCAGGAATGGCAGATTATTCAAAGATTATTCAACAAATTCAAAGTGTAGCAAAAACCTTTTTAAATAGGAAGAATTAGTAAAGAAATTAATAAATTCTTAACCTCATTTGCTTAAACCTACCCAATGTTAATCTTACTTGTAAGAAAATCTTAGAATTTTACTCAAATTTTCTAATTTCTTAATCATTTACTCAATGTATAAGTTAGGAAAGAGAGCTTTCAATATTCTTAACCCAAATTCTGTTCCCCAACGACATTCATTCTGTTGAGACTGTTACCACTCAGAGTAATTTAACTCTTTGTGGTTCAAAAAGGTTCTCCTTGTTCTGCAAATAACATTCTTAATGTTATGCTAGTCTAGACAAATTTATGTTCCCCAATAACCGCTATCAAGGAGTTCCTGCTATCTGGAGGACATACAAACATTACAATGAGAAGGCAATCAGAGGTTCCACCAGGACAAAGGAGGGAGTCACATTTCTCACACTTTGTGAACTTTACACTTGACTAAAAATCACAGAAACCTGAAAGTCCTATTAGGCTACAAAAGGTTAAAACAAATAGTTTTTCATTAATGTTAAACAGCTGATAAAAGTTTTAAACTTGGTGCTTATACGGTTATGTTTCCCAATATGATAATCTAAAATGATTACATGTTAGAAGGTACTAGTTACAAATTTTTCCTTTTTTGTCAAAGTGTATATAGTTTTGACTTACCCCTCCCAGATCCTGAATGTCTTTTTGCAGTTTTTCAGATATGGTGACAGAAGGTAAGTCAATGTAAAATATTTTTCCCCAGAGCGGCTTATATTTGGATTTTTCTGGTTTGTTATCAGTTTTCATAGATTTTAAAGATCTGTTTTTTTCATTTTTGACTTGGATTCCACCTGTTGTTTAAAAAAAATGTAGAATTAGATAGTTTTATGCAGACAAAAAATTTCTGTTTTAAAAATATTTTTTATACAGGCATCATATCACAGAGGGGAAAAAAATCTTTATAATCCCACCAATTAAAAACTCAATAGCATTTTAATGTATTTCTTTGTAGTACCACTTCGGATAAAACCAAAATACCACACTTGTTTTAACAGATACTATATTGTAAAATAATTATTGTTCACAGCCAATAGTTGAATTTGCAGTAAATATTTATGTATTTGTTCATGTTTTTATGTATTACAGTGGAAACTAAAACCTTTTTGAAAGATTTTCCTCCTTACGATGTAAACTCCATGGGGTATTTACTCAAATATTTATGGAGCATCTGCCCTTCTGCTGAACACTCAAAACGGGCTTAAAATGTTAAAGACTTACCTATACAAGAAACCTGTTACACATGATGACCTAGTCCTCAAAAGTTTCCAAGGTTTAGTTTCCTACAGTCTGTCTATGTATTAAGAAATAAATGGTCCATTTAAGAGCCAAATCACCATTCACTTCATTATTTCCTTTGAAAACAGATCTGAGATTGAAACAACTGCTTTAAAAATTAACTTTCATAACACAATCTGTTCATACGTTGAAAATTCCTATATATATACGACATACATATTCTAGACATATTAAAAAAGAAAAAACACTTGGAAGCTGTAATGTCTTACCATACAAAGTAGTCGAAAATGGAAATGTGCTTTCGTTTCCGTCTATAATGTTGAAAGCAGCAATGATGTGTTTGAAATACAAATACTATCCCTTAACTTTATGAGTGAAGAAAAATAAATTTAAAAATAAGGCCAAAAACCCACCCACAATCACCCAATTTAATTATGAACCTAAAAGCCACGAGCACCTCTGCTTTCAAACTGAGGACAGAGCTGCAGCCTCAAAGGGCCTGAGCCGAGTCTCAGCATCTGTCCGAGGCCCGGCCGGGTCCCGGGTCCGCACATTGTTTTCTAGCTTTACAACCTCCGGCAATGTTGGGCCGCGGCCGGAGCGTGAACCGCGCGAGGGGCCCCGCTGGGATCCTCTCCCTTTCTGAGGCAAAGCCCTGGACGGAGCCTTCCTTCAGGCCACAGAGAGGGACGCACAAGCCAGAAAAGAAAAGGAGCAGGGACCTGGGGGGAAGAACTAAAGAATCAATGGTGGAACCACGAGGGGAGGAAAGGATTAAAGGGACTGCAGCGGAGGAGGGGCTTCATACCCTGTAAATGTCCTTTGCTGTGGATCCTCATGGCTCCGGAGTTCATGGCAGCCGCCCGGCACCTACATGCTGGGTTCGGGAGAGTGTCGCGCCGGGCGGCCACGAAAACAGCTCGTCGAGGCCGATTTATCAGCCGGTCGCCTCTTCCCCTTCCGCAGACTACCACACCCACGCAACAGAGATGCCGCGTCTACCGTCCGGGTTTCCGGGGCCGGATTCGACTCCAAGGCGCGGAGGAGGAAGAGGTAATGCACAAACGAGTGGGCTGCGGCGGTTGAAGATTTGAAAACGCGTCACGCGGCCGCGGCGCCCATACGCGCGCCCCGCCCCCTCTCACGCCGCGCGCCGCGCGCCGCGCCCCGCCTCGCGCTCGCCCCCACGGGCCCCGCCCCCACGGGCCGCGTCTCCGCCCCCTGCCCCTGCCGCACGTTGGTACCTTCCAGGCTTCAGGTCGCCGCTCTACGCCGGTGCCCTCCGGTCCCTCCGCTCCCCTGAAGAGTCCTTGTGACTCCTGTTGACCGAACGTAGTGAATGCAGTTAGCCCCGGAGGCTAGCCCGCCAACAGGGTCATTCCCGCCTCCTAGGGTCGCCGGGACCGCGTGCCCTCCAGCTGCCTCCTTCGCCAGGTACGCTTCTTGCCCACGGGTCGGCTGTCCCGGAGGCTGAAGGCGCGGCGGCTGCGGCCCAACTAGGACTCAGCCTCCGGCCGGGCCGGCCTGCTTGGCCGCGAGAGCCCCCGCCCAGCACGCCCCGAGGCGAGGGTTTTCCTGCCGTCACCGCCGACCTGGCCGGCCTGGGACAGGCCGCAGAGGGACTTCCAGGGCGGGAGCGGCCTGGGAGGGGGGCGTCGGGGCGAGGGCCCGGCCAGGCGGCCCCTCCCAGCCTAGAGCGAGTTCAGGTCGCCTTGGGCCATTTCATACTTGGCTGTGTGCCGCTCCTTTGACCAACTCCGTTGTGCACAAACCTGTTTTCGTTTTATTGTGAAGTTTGTTTCAACAATCATAGAAAGAATGGAATTTGAAATCTCACGTCCTAGGGTTTGGGGTCTAGACCTCCCACTTTGCAGCACGACTCTGATTAAATTACCCCTAATCCCTTTGAGTCCCAGTTTTTTCACTTGTAAAGTGGGGGTAATAATGAGATTATAGTAAGGATTACATTAAAATATTTTGTAAAGTTAATTTTGTTTTGTAAGTGGGGAAAAAAACGCTTCACAAAATTGTTTTGGGTTTGTTTCTGCTTATAGACTTGTGAAAGAGGAAGAGGATTAAATCTTGTGGGATTTTGCATTCATCAGCTTTTGGCCATAATAGTCAATCATTGTTTAATGGTTTATATATTTATTTATTTTTTTGGAGAGGGAGGGAGACAGAATGTTAAGCAGGCTCCAGGCCCAGCGTAGAGTCCCACCCCTGGCTGAGCTCATGACCTGAGTCTAAATCAAGAGTCAGAAGCTTTACTGACTGAGCCACCCAGGTACCCCTAATGGCTGATTTTTGAACTAGTAGAGATCAGAGAAGTTAGTGCCAATATCACTGTTTCACGAATAAGTACATTAAAGCATAGACAAGGATGGATTGTAATAAGCCTTAACCAAAATGGAGAATCCAAAGAGGTAGGTAGTTCAGGTTTGCGGAAAGGAGAGTTTAGTTGTGGATGACTTTAAGTTGAAGGACCAAGGGAGAGAAACATGGAACTATCCAGTTGGTAATATTTGTCTGTAACTCAGGAGCGATATGGGGGTGGGGTGAAGAGAGGAAAAAGATTGATTTGAGAGACATACAGACCCTCAGCCACGGGGTGATACATAGGAGGGTATCAGGTCTTGAGAGGAGGAGGTGTTGTTTGAACAAAACATATTCAACGTTAGATGTTCCATCTGGGGAAGACAAGCTATTTTCAAAATGTAAGACTGATGAATCCCATATCTGTACCCCTGAAACAAATAATACGTTATATGTTAATTAAAAAATAAAAATTAAAAAAAATGTAAACTACAGAAAGAGCGTAGAACTTTTTGTTTATAAAAAGTTTTAAGATTGAGAAACATGAATATAGAATGTAGTTAAAGTCATGGAAGGAAATGAAATTGCCCAGGAGAGCATCTGAAATAAGAGAAGCAGTGATGAGTAGACAATGATGAAATAGTGAGAAAGATGGAGAAAAGGCCAGAGAGTTAGGAAGAGAACTGGGAACAAAACTTAGTATCCAAAGTCACAGAATTACAAACATTGGGATCATGCAGGCTTCACTGTCTGGCTTTGGGTAGTTTTGAGTCTCAATTTTAATCAATGAAAGGGGGTAATTAATACTTCTCAGATGTGAGGATGAAATGAAACATTTTTGAAAGCTTAATGAGTACAGAGTGAGAGCTCAGTGAGTATCCTTCTGGTGGCCTCTACACCAGCTCCTCCATCTTCAAGAGTTCAAAAAGGCCAAGATTTGAAAAATAGGCCTTTGATTCTGGTGTTTAAGATGTCATTGTTTTCCAGGGCACCTGGGTGGCTCAGTGGGGAGGCGTCTTCCTTTGGCTGGGTCATGATCTCAGGGTCCTTGGACCGGGCCCCACGTTGGGCTCACTGCTCAGTTGGGACTATGCTTCCCCTCTCCCTCTGCCCACCCACCCCCCTTCATGTGTGCTGTCTCTCTCTTTCCCTCTCCCTCTAGCTCTCTCTTTCTTTCAAATTAATAAATCTTGAAAAAAAAAAAAGATGTCATTGGTTTCCTTAGTGAGAATTTCAGTAGATGACTAAGGTATAAGTACTAGATAAGAACAAGGGACTCGAAGTGGAGACAAGTTGAGTGTACTCTTGAAAAAATTTGTCAGTGTAGCAAATTAATAGTGATAGGAAGGGAAGGTAGGGTCTTTGGAATGTTTAGGGGATATGGGAAAGATTTAAACATATCTCTATTGAACATAAAAAATGAAAGCTCCTTTTATGTTCCAGTGAAAGCTGAGTTACCTCTCATACTTACCATAATGAGGAAGCAGTAACACAGATATACCCTATGCTTTTAGACACACCCTTGACTGCATTATAGGTGATAATGCCAATCTGTGAGTAAGCAGAAAGTCTGTTTTACTGGTCACTGTTAATAATTTTCTAATCTGGGGCGCCTGGGTGGCTCAGTTGGTTAAGCAACTGCCTTCGGCTCAGGTCATGATCGTGGAGTCCCGGGATCGAGTCCCGCATCGGGCTCCCTGCTCGGCGGGGAGTCTGCTTCTCCCTCTGACCCTCCCCCCTCTCATGTGCTCTCTCTCTCAAATGAATAAATAAAATCTTTAAAAAATAATAATAATAATAATAATTTTCTAATCTGTAACTCAAGGTTAATTTTAAAAAATATTATTGGACTTCAGATCTTTTAGTAGCTATAGGGAAGACTTGGTCATGTATCTATGACCTGTACTCATAGAAACCCCCTTACCTATCATGTCAATAATCAGGACTATTGGTAAGATAATAAAATTTATGTTAAAGTATATCTTAAAGTATGCTTTAGGTGAAGGATATACATTCAAGAAGAACTGAATGGGGGAAGGGACAAGGTTATTTTTGGTAAGAAGTTTGTTTCTGGGCACTTGGGCGGCTCAGTCGGTTAAGCATCTGCCTTCGGCTCAGGTCATGATCCCGGGGTCCTGGGATCGAGTCCCACATTAGGCTCCCTGCTCCTTGGGGAGCCTGCTTCTACCTCTGCCTCTCTCTCTCTGTCTCTCATGAATAAATAAATAAAATCTTAAAAAAAAAAAAAATCAAGAGTTGTATTAAGCAAAGTTAGAGAACATTGAGCAGAATCATGGTCTAAGTAAATGAACATTTGGCTGTAAATCAGGAGAAATGAATTTCATTCAGTACGGGCTCTTTTCCTAAGAAGTTTTATTACCTTGGACAATTTCACCTCTTATAGTTAAATGAAGACAGTATCTGCTTATTCTACCCCACATCTTTTTGTGATTATCAAATGAGGCCTTAATCTGCTTTTTCAGACTTCCTCACACATATATCCAAATTTAAATTTTCTGCTCTAGAGCCTAGAAAAATGAATGGATTTGTTCATTTTTCTGTAACATTCATCACTTTCCTATTGTCTTTTCTTTTGCTTAAGCCTCTCCACCTGTTCCTCTCCCTGTTCAGAGCAAGCCTAGCTTAGATAGAGCTTTATCTCCTGTTCATTTAGGGCTTTTCATAATATCCGTTTGATTCATATGCTAACTACTGATATATTATCTTCTGAAATATGTTCTCTTGCTATTTTTTAAATTTAATTTTCACTTCTTACAGTCTCAATACCCTGGTGAGTTGGAGGACCTAAGGGTTTTCGAAGGTTAAGTTGTTAGTTTTGCAGACTAAACATGAAAAGATAGCTGTGGCACTGAAGTCTGTCTCAGGTGCTGGTGGGCTCAGAAACCAGGGAAAATTCCGTGTATCAAGACCTTGAACACAACGTCAGTGAAGAGTAAAAAGTGGAGAATAAGCAAGACAGGAGGATTCGGAATTTGAAAGTGGTTTCCCATAAGACAGTATGATTCAGAGGCTGCTATGGCATCTGTGGGAACTGTTAAAGATAATGAGCTGGTTCAGAGGTGATATGTCATTCTGAACTAGATCATAAATTCCTTAAGGGTGGTAAAGAATACATACATACTATTGGGCCATGACTATAAAATAATCTACCTAGTTACCCCACTTCCTTCTTTCCTTCTGCATTGATTGAGCACCTACCATGTGCTATGCTCAGTGAGATTGGTTTTACATAGAAATCTCATTATGTAAATTTTAAAAATTTCTAATAGAATAGTCCCTTCTTATCCCAGATGTCAGTTACCCTCCATCAGCCATGGTCCAGAAGCAGATTCTGACCTATTGTCAGAAGGTCAGTAGTAGCCTAATGCTACTTCATTCACCTCACTTTACCTGATCACGCAGGCATTTTATCATCTCACATTATCACAAGAAGGAAGGTGAGTACAGTACAGTAAGATATTTTGAGACAGCAAGAGACCACATTCACATAACTCTTATGATAGTATATTATTTTAATTGTCTTTGGTTACTATTAATTTCTTAATGTGACTAATTTATAAATTAAACCATCATAGGTGTGTGTGTATAGGAAAAAGCATACATTGAGTCTGTTACTATCTCAGGTTTCAGGAATCCACTGGGGGTGGTGGAATATATCCCTTGGCAGTTACAGTCCCATAAAATGGACCCATTTTAAGTGTACAGATTGAGTTCTAATAAATATGTATATCCATGTAATTACTACCACAATCAAAATATGGAACATTTCTGCTTCTCAGAAGGTTATTTCATTCTTCATTCCAGTCTCCCATCCCATCAGAGGTGACCACTTTTCTGATTGCTATAGTTTGATTTATATCTGACTGCTACAGTTTTTCCTATATTTCAACTTAATATAAGAGAAATCATGAAATTTATGTTGTAGCTCTGCATTATTTTGCATAACATAAATAAACCTTTTATGATTCATCCATGTTGCTATAGATATCAGTAATTCATTCTTTTTTATTGCTGGGTAGTATCCCATGGTGTGAATATACCGTACATGTAGATTTATATTTGGGTGGTTTCCTGGGTTTGGCTGTTATGAATAATGTTTC